CTAATTAAGTTGCAGCCCCCAAGTACCTACATATCTCTACCTCCTCCTATTGTTCACGCTGCACACTGACCCCAGAGTGACTCCTGCTTAGGTCGCCTCCTCTGCCAGACTCCACCCTCTTTTTACAGGGTTTAAACTGTCTGTTAGTTCAGGCTCATTACTCAGTCTCATGCTTCTGTTTAGACGGAGGGGTTCTTTTGCTCTAACTCAACAAGTTGTTGTTAACGTTCGTCAAGTTGACTGAACAAATATGTTAATGTAAGAGCTGGTGTTTTTCTAAGTCGTGTCACAAACACCTATCCGGCTCTGCCCGCCTCTCCATGCTTGTTTAGACTTACAAGGTAATATTTCTATTGCTCCTCTTCTCATTCTTAATCCTGAACATGTTAAACAGTTTCAGGCTCTGAGTTTTGCTTAAATATCTGTTTGGGCATTGACATCAACAGACATATGGTAAGATTCAGGAGAACTTGAGTCTGACAGAAGTACAGCTGTAAATAATCACTGGTTGGAAACAAAACTTCTATGACAGCAACACTGTACTGTTTCCCTGCATTTTATTCCATTTCTTCTTTCCAGGTTCTCTATATCACAAGTGTGTCAGCTGTCTTTGGCTAAACTTTGGATAAGAAGAACTGATGGCTGTTGGTCCATTCTATGAACAAAGACTGTCAACATGCAGACAGGAGTGTGTCTACACAAACAGGCAAAGATGCAGACCCTTTACGACAGGCTGCCAAAGGTCAGTAGTTGGCATGAGAGAAGTGGGGCTACGAGGACACGGGAGGCCCAGGGAATGGAGGCACATGGCTGCCAACCACCTCCCCAGCCCAGTGGCCAGGAGGCTGGTTAGCAGTGCTGTCACTTGCTGTCTGCTCTGGCCCGCTAACGCTGCACCACACAGAGCCCGAGCAGGTCCTGAGTGCTGGTGTTGATGCACAACTCGACACACAATTAAAACAATGAGCTGTGGCGCCAAGAACCGAGGGTGCTCCAGCAGCTTTGACTGAGCCAGTGAGCCCCTGTGGGTGCTCCATGGTGGGCAGGATGCCCAAACTTAGCAGCCCCTTCAGCAGGGGCATCAGTGGGGGCATCAGCTGGGGAGCGGAACCGGGAAACCGTGCCAGATGAGGTGATGACAGCCGGCCGCGGGCAGCCAAAGGTTAATGGGAACATTTAGGGGACGGCTGAGTCTTTTTGTGGCTTGTACCAGAGAGAACAACTACTTCTAACAGAATCCCTCCGGTGCAGCAGAACTGGCAGAGATGGAGTTCATAATGTAACTACCGTCTGAGCCTCACAGCTTAGTCGCTGCTATCCCCATCACTGCGCATGTCAACAAGTATCTCTCTTCATAATGAAGCACTGTCGGACTGAACAGGCCTGGCTAGATGGGGTATTTGCAGCGATGAGCGCCAGCCCTAAAACGATTAGCAGCAACAGTGCCCCCGCCTCATCTCCGCCTCATCTTCAGCCAGACTTGCTGATGTTAATAAGACCTGGACCGGCCGTCGCTGTGGGCAGATGTACAGGGAGGAGAGCGAACGGGTGAAGATAAAGCGATGATGACAACAGTTGGAGAAGACGGGGATCGGGCCTGTCACATATCTCACTGGACGGGGTGGCACTGTGGAGGCGGAGTGCGATCTCCCTGAGCTTTATTCCTCCCTGCGGTCCAACCGCCACGTCGGCAGGGGAGGGGAGGAGGAGAGGAAAAATGGAGGTGTTTAATACTGACGGCCATATTAATGCACCTCCCTCCCCTTGTCTCCTTCCTCCTCGCTGTCTTTCCTTTCTTTGCATCTATCTGTCCAAATGTCTGCCTCCTCTTCTCATCTCCTATTCATCCTTTTCATTTCCTTCTTTTTTCTGATCACTATGTCCCTCCATGTGTTCCTCAACCTTTTCTTACTTTCTTCACACCTTCATCTTCTATTTTCCTTCTTGCCATCCATCTAATTTCATGTGCTCCTAGCCCATCTTTCTTCTCTCCACCTCTTCCAGTTCCTCTTTCCTCCATGCATCCTTTAATGTTCCCACTTTTCCTTTCTCCCTCCTTGCATCTCTCTCTCCATCCACCTCCCAAACCTCCAAACAGGACCTAATTGGGAGGCGAGGGTTGGGGGCCAGACCTTGACAGACAGGAGGTCAGTGTAATTGCTGCTGGCCATATTTAACATTAAGATAATCAGGCCATTAATTACCCTTTGGATCATTAAATCAGCCACTTGCAAAATGAAATTTCGGCCTCTATTACTCACTTGAGAGACCATGAGGGGAGGGCATTTTTTTCATCCATCAGCTTCCCCCCACCCTCCCCCTTTCTGTCTCTGCCTCCTCCTCCCATCGCTCCTGCTGCCTGGACAATGCCTCCGCCGGCCTTTCCTCATATCTCAATGTCAGCGTGCTCTTTTCTCTGTCTCTGCTCTTTCAGTCACTCGTGTCATGTTAGCGATTAGCATTAGCGATTCCCAGTGCGAAAAGGGGCTTGATTTAAAAAGAAAAGCAACACTAAATACACATGTGGAGTCTAATTATAGCAAGTTAAACCACTGACACTAATGTACTGATGCTACTTGTGATTTTAGGGTCACTTGCTTTTGAATGTAACTCAGATTTTCACTTTGGGTCACATTTCTGCCACCTTAAAAATCATTACTGATATGTGTAACATTAATGTACTTATTCTTGTTTTCTTATTGTTTCTTTAAATAGACCTTTCTAGAAAGAAGATCTGGGTCAAACAGGACAACTGAAAATGTTATTCTAGCTTTGATTCCGGGATTCTGTTTATACGAGGTAAAGGAGAGTTTTTCCATTTGCTGTTCTGAACACACACACACACACACTGATCTCTCCATTATTATGAGCTCACTTGCTATAGTCTGGATCCTGTGGCCTCCCTCCTTCTGATCGTGCTCTTCACTCCAGGTGTATATTCCTGCGCAGTGAGCTGTAATGGCTACCTGAAAAGGCTATATCTTGTATCTACTTTCCTTCTGACTCAGAGATAAGTGTGGAAAATTATCTGACTCAAGTTTAATGTAACTTCTCATTTCCACAAATTTCTACACCAGAGGTAGTGATAGCAAAATCAGCTACAGAGTCACCACCACCACTTTTAGGGGAAATACTGCAATTAAAAAAAAACGTTATCCTTTAAATAAAGGTAAAAATGCAAACGTGTTTAAGAGGACGCGAGAAGGAAACCCACAAGCACACACACAGACAAAAGTCCTCCTATCTATGCATTTCTAAATAGTTTCTATCTCTACGGTAAACAAAATTAGCGCTATCGCCACTTAAAATTGGTAGATAATGTGGCTCTTTAAAAAAAAAAAGCAGTTTCTTTTCTTTACTAATTAATGTTCAGTTGGACATGAACTGTTAATAAAATTCATTTTTCACTGAAATAACGTGGAAGAGTTTGCAGAGAAACTTTCAGCCCTTAGTAGTGTCTGCAGGTCTTCACCTCAGCCTGTCTGGAGCCTGCGAGGCAAAACCCAGGAAGTAAAAGTCCACAAAGCACTTCTGACAAATGAGACTGTGTGTAGAGATATTAATGAAGAATTAAAGTGAAACTGTAAAGGTTGTAGGGTAAAAAATAGCATATAAAGAGGATCCCAGCTGGACAGATGGATTGAGAACTCAACAAGGAGAACGAAACACCACAGAGGCAGAGAAGTGATGGGGGAAACAGAGAGAGAGAAAGAAGGAATTTATGGAGGAGCAACGACAAACAGCAAGCCACTTAAGGAATGGACTGATAAATGCTATCGACAGGACAGCGCGGGTGGAGAGAGATAGAGCTGCAGCGGAGCGTCGCAGGTTAATTGAGATAATATTGACCTCCTGCTCTAATCTCTTCAGGGGGAAACATGCTTCAGATTCATAAATAAATAGCAACATGAGCAACAATAAAAGCATTAGTGCTCTGATGGAGAAGGGCTAATGGCACATCAATACTCGCAGATTACTCTGTGTGCGCGCTCACCGAGTCAATGTGTGTGTATTTGTACTGCGTGCAACTGCAACCAACACTGTATGTGGTACTGTTTCACCTTCAGTAGCCAGTTTATTAGGTACACCAAGCTAAAGCTGAGTCAGTCTAATCCAACAGTCCTGCAGTGAATGTTTACAAGTACTCCTTCCAGTAGTGCTTTATGACTGCAATACAAATAGTTGTATCTGCATGTTTATTTACATGTAGTGATAATGTTATAGTGCTGTGCATGTATTTGTGAGTATATCATTGTGTGTGTGCTTTGGGGCTCATGTGGGGAGTAATTATAAGGTGCTTCTGTTGACTAATGAGTGTTGGGGGGTGAGTGGGAGGGGGAGGATGGGGATGTCGATCTTTATGCGGATGGCAGTCAGCTCTAATTTGTTATCATGTCTGCTGGCTCCACACACACACACACACATAAACATGGGGGTACACACTGATCAATCTCACGCTAAAGTTCACTGATTTGTTACTGTCCCCAGTGGTCTACTAGACAACACGCACTGAAGCAGGGTTTGTAGGCATCTCTGTCAATATCCAGCACATCCTGTATGAACCCTGCTGTGGGTCTAGTACTGAAATACTGCCCCCTATCTGCAGCAGGCAGCACCACACTGAGACAGATCTACTGTACACAGGGGGACAATGAGAGGAGTTTTCTTTGGTAAAAAACAAATTAAAATCCATGTTAAAAATATATTAGTGCCATTGGTATCAACAACTAGGATTCATGTGCTTCTTTTGGATAGAGGACTTTTATTTTGAAGAATCGCTATTACTGCTGCTCTCTGTCATTACTAAGCGATGCCATCTTTCTAGACCTGCTTTGCTCTATTCTGTTCCTTGTTGAACTTATTTTGTCTCCACCTGCTCCCTCTTTGTCTGACGTCTGACCTAGAAAGGCACCATCCACTCTATTGTTCCTCACCCTACACTCTCCTTTGCATCCTGATGTTTTCCAGCTCCCAGGTAAAGTCCAGAGTGCGTTTCCTACCTGCTAGCATCCGGTCCAGGTTTGAGGCGTCCCTGAGCGTTGGCCTCCCACACGCTGTTAGCCAACTCATTGCCGATTGCAGACATGACCTTGATGAGCTCCAGTGGCCACTCATCAAGGTCCAAGGAGCGAACCCTGGACAGGTGGGTACCCAGGTTCCTGTGGATGCCCGAGCACTCGATGCAGATCAGGGCCCCGAGGTTCAGACTGGCCCAGTCTGGGTCTGGAGGACATGAAGAGACATGTTCAAGGCCATTACCAGTGTTTCTGAAGCATGTTTGTGGAGGTTTAATTCACAGTGAAGTGTTCTGCAGTGCGAGTCTTTATCTAAGAAGACACTGCAACAGCACACTCTGATATCACATCATGTGTTTCCATTTCAAGTGATGTCTTTGGCTAAAAGAGTGGCTAACTGCAAGTGAGGTTAGAGATCATTAGGTTTGTACTGTTACAGCATTTCACTGATGGTAGCTGGTACTCACTCTGAGCTTCACAGTCAGCACAGCGACTATTTCCTCTGATACTTCTGACTGACTGCAGAGCCATAGCCTCCGTCTGGCTGGTCAGACGAGACTGGAAGAACAAAAACACATCATATAATTTATCTTAGAATAAACTGAGGTGTTCTGGCACTTTCCTCCACTACAGGCTGTACTTTACTTCATTAACTAAACAAATAACTGCTTATCAACTGGTGGCCCGACCTGCTGAGTGAGAGAAGAAACCTAAATTACCAGCTACAGTATGGTCAAGATTTCCTTTCAAATGTATTCTGTTCTTTCCCACACAAATGTGGGCTGAGAATTGTTTGCTGACTAGTTTTGCTGTTACCTAATCTCCAAAAAACACAAACACATGCAGAGAAGCAGAACACACTGAACAGATGTAAGCCTAACCATCATCGCTGCTGTTTCAGGCTAAAGCCACTGATGTTGGGGAATGAAGGAGTGACACCACAAATAAACGAAATGGGGGGAAGGAGGGGAGGACGTGTTTTGGGTGGGACAACAAAATGAAGGGAGCCTAAGGCGTAAACACATCAGGCTTGCTGCATGTGCAGGTGGAAAATGGCAATGCCGAGGCTGAATGTGAGCTACAGTAATTGGTATTTTGTAATTATGTAAGCGAAAGTGTGTGTGTCTGTAATCTGGGTGTGTAAGCAGCAGGTGAGACAGTTAATGTTGCTGTTTTTCCTTCTGTCTGTACTACTACTTCTGAATATGGTTCAAGTCAGATTTAAACATGGCAGGTGTTGCCAGGGTTTTGAGACAGTCACCTTGTTCTTGCTGCTCTCACAGGACTGCAGGCTGGCCAGGATCTGGCTCTCGATGACCTGGACCCAGGCGTCTCGCTCCTCGTAGGAAGTGGCTTCAAAATTCCATGTCTGCCCCGTCAACGACACGATGGTGAACTCGAAGTTCTCCTCTTGTTCTGTTGGAGAGAAAACAAACAGGAAACTGAGATTTAGTAGAGGAACTCTCCCCACCTTCAATTCACACTCTCAGCCAGAGTAAAACAATGTTCACATCCCAGCTGAAGTGAGTCAGACCTGATCACAAACTACATCAGATGTTCTCAGATCAGACCCTCTTCTTTTCTTATGCCCTCTTAATGTCTCCCTCCTCTGCACATATCGCCTGTCCCTGTTATTCTGTGTCAGCCTCTCACAAAAGAAAGCACATATGTCCATGTGTGATTTGACAGAAGTCTTTTTGGCGATATCACTGACACCTGGACCAACCACCTCTGACCCTCGTGACCCCACCCCTGAAGCCAGGATGTCACCCAAATTACTCCCCGAGCCATCCTGCCCTCTCCTCTGCCAGGAGAGGTCAGTCATTACAATCAGGCCCTGCTGCAGGGGGGACATGTGGATCTATTACCCAGAACCCCCTCAGAGGTTAATGGGAAGATCAGGAGTCAATTAGGCTGAGTGTATGTGAGCTTGTGTGCATGTGTTTGTATACAACAGCAGAAGAGAGTCAAGGTCCTGGACTTTTTAAAACCAGTTGTAGGTGGTGAGAACATGTGTCTGCATCTGGATTCTGACATGTTAAAGGGGAAGTACACTCAAAAACACTATCACACTTCCATTTCTGGAAACATAATGCATGTTTTTACGCTTCTTTTTATTTTTTTTTACCACATTGTTTTCTTGAAGTATAAAATACAATAATTGTCTTTTACCTCCAAAAAGTCCCAGCTATCTTAATGATCTGAAATCTGGAAATTCAAAAGTCAAAAGCAGCTGGATTTGTTTTTCATACCAGACCCCGTTTCTTTTAAGATCATAAATACACTCTGTGCTTCCAGGGTATTTTGGCAAACATGCAACTCTGAGGGTCCAGATTAGCTTAATGCAAAGTCTCAATTTTGAAAAAGAACCGTTTGCAAACTGTCCTTGTAAAACTTGAACATTGGGCTAGTTCTAAGAGGTTTTGGTGCATTTGTGCACAACCTGGGCACATTTGGAAACTGTTAACATCCACAGAACAAAAAGGATGGGAAGTGGAGGTGAAGTGAGGGCAGGGTTGCGAGCCGGTATCACTGCCACAGCAGATCACACAACAAACAGCTTCTGTTTACAATTAGCCGCAGAGGGAGGTAATCACTTAATCAAAGGATGGCCTCCAGCGTAGCTGATAATTCCCAGGATTCCTCAGTTTCTGTCGGTACGACCCTCAGCAAAAGCACATGAAGAGCATGTACGTCTAAGAAGGCACCATTATTTCTCCATGTATACATCCGTATGGCCGTGGGAAGACTTCTCATGGGGTTTCCCAGTGTGGAGGTCGGTAATCACTCGTGACACTCTGGGCGAGCGTTTCTGGATGCTGTGGTTTCATGACGTGTGCCAGGAGTGAAGCAGTGAAAAGATCAGAGGTTTAATCAGTCGGAGAACGGTCACGGCCGGCCCGCCAGGGAACGACCATTTGCTCTTCCTCAGCTCCAGTCATTTGGCTAATTGGGAGCATCTCAGAGCACCGGAGCTGAAGTTCCCCTCTGGCTTGGCTCTGTATAATCAATGGCCGTGTCCAAGGAGAGGAAGGATGGGAGGAAAAGATGGAAACATGGAGGAGCCTGAGGCCAAACAACTGGCTCAGAAACCCTTTCACTTCAGCATAAAGAGACTGAAAACACCTCTGTTGGCCAAAGTTTCTTTTGCCGAATGTAGCGAGTGGATCATCTTCATGTCTGTGGGGCTGCAGGCTGCTGATGGGCTGATTAGTTGATGTTAATAAAAACAACTGTTTACTAGGGCTGGGTAACAATTCAAAGCTAATACAGAGTTTTACTTTAAACTGGCAAAGGGAACGCCGTGTTAACTTAAAAAACTATGATGTTTATATTCACTGATGACCTCTAACCTCTAAGTGAAAACTAAATACAACTAAAACCTTTGTAAAGTGAAAACTATGATAAACATTCAACAATTTGCTACAATGAAAACATACTAAAAAATTAAAAAAATTAATCCATGAACATAAAAAATATGACATTTAACGCCTTTCTTACACTGCAAAAAGTAATATTTAAAAACGAGAAGTACATAACTTCAAATACAATTAATCAAAACTCTGACAAACTGTAAAACCTACATCTGTAATAATATTACCAAGAGCTGAGGTGTTTTATTTGCTGTCATTAGTGCAGGATTACTCTCTAAACCCTACTGTCTGCAGTAAGGCTATTATATTATATATTAGTTGCAGGTCTCAAACTAAACAGATCTGCACTTTGTAGAATCAAGGTCTAATTTTACACCTGAGACCACAGCTGAATGGTGAGAACATCCTTTATCTATGATTATCAAGCAGGTCTAAACTTCATCACCATCCTGCTTTGAGCTTAACAAAATGGTTTTCATATCAAAAATATTTTGCCCAAGAGGAAAACACAGGGTTTTTGGTTGAGCGTCTGTCCTGAATTTGAACCCCAACGCTTGCTGTAAGTTCTTTTTTTCAAGTCAAGTCAATCTTAGATCTTTATTGTCATTATGTATAGCACAACGAAAGTTCTTCTGGCAGCTCTCGGCTTAAAAGGCACATTATTTACCATAAATAACACAAAAATTGTACACATCAATATAAAAATATGAACAGATGAAATCAGGTCAACAGCATATTAGCAGCAGAAGAATATAGTCACATTCTAAAGTGCAGCTCAGTGCAAATCTCAATCTTTAAGATGAAGTGTGAGCATGTGTATACGTTGGCAGGAGTCCAGTATTCTATCTGTATCTGTCCGTGGGGGGGAGGTTGTGTGTGGGTCCAAACACAACAATTGTATGAAATTTCAAATGCTCAAGAATCCTGCAGCACAATGTGGCACAACTTCGACATCTGCAGCTCTTTTTTGCCCACCATGTCTAAAGTTCACGGTGTGCCTCACTGTGGTGACACTGACCTCCAATAATCCGTCTCCAGATCAAAGTATAAAAGACGCATCTGCTGCTGGTTGCAGTTTTTTTTTCTTCTTTTTTTACACGTGTTTGTTTATGCGTTATCTGAAGTCCCTTGTTTTCCGGCTTCCAGCCTGAAGGCTAATATAACACTGTATATTAAAATGTGTCTAATGAAGGGGAAACCATACATAATGCAGACAGGGAAAGATAATTTTCCCATGTATTTGGAGGCTGCTGGGTCTACACTGGGTGCTGCTTCTCTCTGAACGACAGCCCACCCATCAAGCTCTGGTTGAGCCCTGCAGGGTCAAGAGCAAGAATCCCATCATAATTAAATTCCCATGATTCTCTGTTTTCAGGGCGAGGGTGGGGGGTTGGCTGCCTGACAATTATGGAAACCAACAATCCAGAAAGGGCCTGCCTCTCTGTGGTGTAAATTAAATGCTGTTTCTGGATTTAAATGCTACACGCTGACCCGGCGCACTGCGGCAGCTAATGAATAAAATGAGGGGGCATTAGGCTGTGCAACTGAAGGACCACTCCCCCCGCCCAGTGTTGCCCTGAAACCCTCACCTGAGTCTGAGCTACACTCAGCTGCCCCTGTCTGTGCAACAGCATGATATTTTAAAAATGCACTCATCAGAATTTTTAAATTAAAAATGGGTCCAATGACTCCATCACGTGAAAGAAGTCGCCCACAGAGAATGATTACAAACACCGGAAATAGGCTCAATTATTCCTTCTTTTGTCACTTGTTTTAAGAAAGTGAGACCTTAGCAACTCAATTTCAACTCAAAAAGTCCTCCGAGGTTGTAAAGATATGACTGGACACATTTGGTTTCCCGATCCTAAAAGATATTTTGGGCAGAAACAGTTTGATTCACTGATTTCTCTGCACACTTACAACCACTTGAACCTGCTCGGCATCTCCTCTGTGCACAGGACTAAACGTATGCATGAGAGTACAAACACACAGACGCAGAGTCACCTGCACTGTATTGGTAATTACTGCCACCGCTCTCGGCTACTATGGGCGACATTCACACAGAGAGGTGGCGCAGAGGCAATTTGTGAACTCTGACACCGGCAACCTTTAGCAGCAGAAACAGAACAAACCAAATATACAGCATTTACAAGACGCAAGGAGGGAGGGGGGCAGGACATGCATAGAAGCCTATCATCTGGGGTGTGAGGTGGCGAGTCGGCCCGGCGAGGTGTGTGTGTGTGTGTGTGACAAGCAGGACGGTAGGTGCAATGAGAGGGGAGGTGTGAGGGAGACAAAAGGGGGCCTCGGGAAACACAAATTAAAAGCCTTAAATGTCACCGCACACAGTATTGCTTTGCGACACAGGTCATTACTCCCCATATTATTCGCACCCTTTTACAACATTAATAACCTGGAAAATATTGCAGCCGATAGTTCTGAAGTCTCTCTGAGCAAGAAATATATAGGTCTAGTTTTGGACCAAGTATGAAGAGGCGTGATGGAGCAGATTCAAGAGTGATTGGAGATGATTTAACCTGTTCACCAAATGCTGGTAAGTCTGGCTTTCACTGTTTATTTTAAGAAGGTTAAACAAAAAGAGAGAGACACCAAAGATGCACCAATCACATCCAGCACACACTGGATGTCATGTCTGACACCACCTGTATGACGTGTGCTTAGAGGAGACATCTTCCCTGCAGGGTGGATGTGTTTGTTTTGTTGTATCCTCAGAGGCGCGGAGGGTGGGGCAGAAGGATACCAGGAGGGAAAGACACTGTGACGGACAGGTCAGGTGACTCAAGCGGCGGGGTAGGGGGAGCAACTCTTGATGAAAGTGAACATTTTCTCCACACATATTGAGAGCAACCAGGCAGAGGAGACGTGGTGGTTTGACAGTCAAAAGACACAGGTTAAAAATAGGCAAACTTTCAAGGTGACCTGGGTTTCATCTGAACTGGTGGTAAACATGCATTTTTTCCACTGTGCACGAGGTCCCATCTAAATATCAAAATCCAGTCAGTTATTAACTTGAAGGAGGTA